CGAGTCTAGGGATCATGTGTAACTTTCCAATTTTGCCCATCAATCTCCAAGGTCCAGGGCAATACTGAAAATATGGTCTGGATCAAAGATTCAATTAATCCTACACTGCATGTGCCTTGGGTCTCACCCTGGCGGTTGAGACAGGCCACCCCAACATTTGGCAGCACACCAGTGTCAGCCTTCGTAGGATAAATCTCCTCAGACTTATCCAATGGCTGTGAACATTTTAAAATAACACGAGTCTCATAATTGTCCAGTTTAAGGGTATTACACAGAAACACACCACAAGAACACGAATCAAATATGTACTTTATTCATTTACAATAAATTCATAATGTACATTATTCATTGGAGGTAAGGGCGTATATGTACTTTATTCATTTACAATAAATTCATAATGTACATCATTCTGATTGGAGCTAAGGGCATACAACTGTCTAACAGCTCCCACTTGCACTTAGGTCCAATTTGGTATAAGCCAAAGTCTCATACTTTTCACGTGTTTCTCAAACACTTTCTGTGTCAGTGGCTTAGTCAATGGGTTTGCTACATTCTCCACTGACGCTACCTTTTGAATCAGGGCGTCCCGTCTACCAACAATCTCCCGCAGTACATGGTACTTCCTGTCGATGTGCTTCGACTTCGAGTGGGCTCATGGCTCCTTAGCCTGAGCAATCGCTCCATTGTTGTCACACGACAACGGGATGGATGATATGCTGGATGGAAATACTCCCAATTCATGAACAAACTTCTTCATCCACATGGCTTCCTTGGCAACTTCACTTGCGACAATGTATTTAGCTTCAGTTGTGGAATTTGCCGTGGACCCCTGTTTGTTGCTTTTCCAGCAAACAGCACACGATCCTATCGTGAAAACATACCCAAATGTAGACTTTCTATCATCTGGATCAGACTGGAAATCGACATCAGTATACCCCTAGGTCTGTAGTGAGCTACCATCGAATACCAGACAAAACTCTTTTGTCCTTCGAAGATACTTAAGTATATTTTTCACAATAGTCCAGTGCTCCTGCCCTGTGTTGGCCTGAAATCTGCTTACCACACTCACTACCTGAGCAATGTCAGGACGAGTGCACAGCATGGCATACATGATGCTCCCTACGGCTGAGGCATAGGGAACGTCCTTCATGCCCTCAATCTCCTTAGAGGTCTTGGGAGACATCTTCTTGGAGAGATTGACTYCGTGCCTGAAAGGAACATTTCCCTTCTTGGAGTTCTCCATGCTGTATCTCTTGACAATTTTGTCAATGTAAGCAGATTGGGATAATCCTATTATCCACTTCGATCTATCTCTATAGAGTCGAAGACCCAGTATATAGGATGCTTCTCCAAGGCTTTTCATGGAGAATTGCCGTGAAAGCCACACTTTCACCGTAGTCAACATTGCTACATCATTCCCAATGAGTAGAATGTCGTCTACATACAAAACCAGAAACGTAACCTTATCCCCACTGAACTTCCTATAAACACAGGGCTTATCCGGATTTTGCTCAAAGTTAAACGTTTTTGATAGTAGAGTCAAACCGGATGTTCCAACTCCTAGAAGATTGCTTAAGTCCATATATGGATCTATTTAGTTTACATACCATGTGTTCCTGACCCGCAGCTATAAAACCTTGCGGTTGCTGCATATAGATATCTTTAGTAAGATCTCTATTCAGGAACGCAGTTTTGACATCCATTTGCCAAATCTCGTACTCATGGTATGCTACTACAGCTAACAGCATCCTAATGGATTTAAGCATGGCCACAAGCGAAAAGGTTTTATCATAATCGATGCCCTCTTTCTGAGTGTACCCTTTCGCCACCAAACGAGCTTTGTAGGTCTCAACCCTGCCATCGGGGCCCTTCTTCCTCTTATAAATCCATTTGCAACCAATTGCTTTTACCCYGGGGGGCGGATCTACTAGAGTCCAGACTCCATTGGTCTCAATTGAGTCCATCTCAACTCTCATGGCATCTACCCACTTAAGGGAGTCTATGTCAAACATAGCTTCCGCATAAGTCACGAGATCCTCCTCACTAGTCAAGGCTTCCACCAGGTAACAATCCTGCTCATAACCAAAACGGACTGGTGGCCTAGATACCCGGGTAGATCTTCTAGGTTGGTTACTACCTGAACTTGTGGGACACCTCCCACTACATCTGAGCTCTCCTCATCAAGAACAATTTCCTGACGAAGAAGGCCCCAAGTAGAGTGTCACTTCACCTTTATTTAGCCTTCTGCTTACCTTGAACCCCTACAGTGAGTTACACGCATGAGTTAAAGCCCCGAAGTCAATACACCAGGACGCAGAAGCCACCAATAAATTGGTTTCTATGACACAAGATTCGAAATTACCTTTTCTTGGATTCCAGGTATTGAGGA